TCAAGTGTTCTCTTCACTCTCGTCAGCCCTGCCTGTAATGACCCCACTCTGGGGAACCGTCCTGCCTCTGCCTGACCCCCCTGCTCCGTCTTCCCTCCGTTTCCCCCCTTCACCCTTTCTCCCACCTCTACCCAACCCTCTTTCCCATCGCCCTGCCAGCCGTTGTCACCACAGGAAGAAGCCGCTGTTATGGGCCATGGGTATCCCAGCCTCTCCGCGCCACCATCCCCATCATCGTCACCATCAGCATCGCTGCACCAGGCAGGAATGATTGCCACCAGAAGCTGCTCGCCTCTCATCCCATCCTCCTCCCTTTTCCCTAGCCATGGATTTGCCACGTCAGCCATAGCGGCTGAAGCCACGTCAGCCTCATCAACATCAGCCGCATTCGCAGGAGCATCCACCTCAGCATCAGCAAGATCAGCACCATCAGCACCGTCTGCAGCTGCAGGGGCAGGAGGAGTAGGAATGGGAGCAATGTCAACAGGGAGGGTCGGAGATGCAGCAACAGGGGAACAGGGGGTGGGAAATGGGAGGATCGGAGTGAAGACAAAAGCGCTGACGAAGCAAGCAAAGCACATCATGAATGTGAGTCCATGTGAGCACGCACCATACAGCATGCACCGAAATTTCTATGCGAAGGCCACAGATTCACTGCACCAGAAGTACAAGCTTCCAACCCTCCCTCCTCGTTCCTGAGTTGATGCAAAATGATATGGAAAAAACACAAAACTTGAGCCAACGAAGAATGCAACTTTCTCATCCTCCCTCCACCTCCCGCCTTTATCGTGTCTCCCTCCACCTCCCGCCTTTATCGTGTCTCCCTCCACCTCCCGCCTTTATCGTGTCTCCCTCCACCTCCCGCCTTTATCGTGTCTCCCTCCACCTCCCGCCTTTATCGTGTCTCCCTCCACCTCCCGCCTTTATCGTGTCTCCCTCCACCTCCCGCCTTTATCGTGTCTCCCCTCCATCTTCCATCTTCCCCCTCTCTCCGCTTCTGCCCCTTCCTCTTCCCTGTCCCCTCGAATTCTGGGATGCAGAGGTCACAAATGGACTGCACCCGGAGTACAGCATGCCTTCTGCCTTCTGTCCTCGCCCCGCACTCCTCCGCCTTCTGTCCTCGTCCCACCTTTATCTTGTCTCCCTTTCCCACCCCCCTCTCGTTCCCCCGTTCCCACCTCACTTACCCTGCAGATTCTGGATGCAAAGGCCACGGCTTCACGGCGCCACGAGGGCATTGGCTCCTCGTGGTCCTCACCCCGCCGCCTCCAACGTCAACTCTCTTCCCTTCCCCCTCACATGCTGGATGCGCACAAAACTTCCCCCTCACATGCTGGATGCGCACAGAACTTCCCCCTCATATGCTGGATGCGCACAGAACTTCCCCCTCACATGCTGGATGCGCACAGAACTTCCCCCTCACATGCTGGATGCGCACAGAACTTCCCCCCTTTCCCCCTCCCCTCCCCCCGCCCCCCATTCAAACCCTTTCCCCCCGTTCTTCTCAGATGCGGCATGCAGAGGCCACGCGGCATGCAGAGGCCACGCGGCATGCAGAGGCCACGCGGCATGCAGAGGCCACGCGGCATGCAGAGGCCACGCGGCATGCAGAGGCCACGCAGCATGCAGAGGCCACGCGGCATGCAGAGGCCACGCGGGTTCGCTCTACCAGGAGAGGACCACACCTCGCCTCGCTTCTCTCCCCCCCTCCCCGTCCTGCCCTTCTCTCTTCTCTCCTTCCCATCCCCCACCCCTCTTAGATTCTGGATGCAGATTCCACGGGTTCACTGTACCAGGGGCGCAACATGCCTCCGCTTCTCATATTCTCTCGCCTTCCCTTCCCGCTTTACCTTTCCCGCCTGCTCCTCCCCTCTCGGATCCTTGGTGCAGACGCCACGAGTTTTATGCCCAAGGAGCGCAACATGCATCCCCACCCTCTCCTTTCCGCCCTTAACTTGTCGCCCTTTCCCATCGCCCCTTCCCATCGCCCCGTCCCATCGCCCCGTCCCATCACCCCCTGCCCGTGCAGATCCTGGATGCGGAGGCAACAGGGGTGCTGCGCCAGGAGCGCAACATGCCGGACTTCAAGCCGGGGGACGTGCTCTCCATGAAGATTGTACGTGCTCTCCATGAAGATTGTACGTGCTCACTTGGGGGAGTTCATACGCCGATGGGGGCTTGTGTTGCGCCAATGGGGGCTTGTGTTACGCTGATGGGGGCTTGTGTTGCGCCAATGGTGGCTTGTGTTGCGCCAATGGGGGCTCGTGTTGCGCCAATGGGGGCTCGTGTTACTAGCCAATGTGTGCTTGTGTGCTAGTACCCATGAAGCGCCTCAAAAGGGCTTGTGTGCTAGTACTGATGTTGTTTGGCTTCTGTTCCACATTCCGTCGCCCTCACACTTGCCGCCATCCTCCTTCTCCCCCTCTCGCCCTCTCTCCCAGGAGGTGCCTGAGAACAAGCGGCGCACGTCGATAGTGAAGGGCATCGTGATCGCGCGCAGGAACGCCGGCATCGGCTCCACGTTCCGCATCCGGCGCATGCTGGCCGGCGTGGGCGTCGAGATGTCCTTCCCCCTGTGAGTCCCTCACTCTTTGTGCGTCGCTGCCCTGTGTCAGTTGAAGCAACTTGGCTGCGTGGCACCTCACTCCTAATGCCTGCCATGTGTCCTGAGTGCGTGCTGTCAGGCGTGGGCATCGACTCGTTCTTCCGTCTGTGAGTCTCCTTTTGTCCGAGTGTCAGTGTGCCTTGCGTCACTTAAATTAGGCACCGCTAGTGCCAGATGCTATCATGCTCTATTTGGTGGCATCAACTTCACATTCCGCATGCATTGCATGCTGGTGAGCATGGGCGTTGACACCCTCTGTGAGTCTCGTTTTGTCGGAGTGTCAATGTGCCGTGTGTGTTCCCTAAGGTGCGCATGCCTGTGGTTGTCAACCAGCTAAGCACTTTCTGCGATTTGCTGTACGAGCATTGCATGATGGAAAGGAAACGGAATGACATTGCTGATGGCCAACTGATGCACGCAAGATTTTGTATAGGTCTAATTCCAGCAATGACCTCTCGTCTCTCTCCGCGCAGGTACTCGCCCATCATCAAGGAGATCACAGTGATAGGCACGCGCAAGGTCAGGAGGGCCAAGTTGTACTATTTGAGGGACAATGTTGCCCGTATGTCCGCTGTTTAGGGATGCAGCCGCAAGTTGTGCAAATAAGAAAATATTTTAGGAATCCCAAGATGCTTGTCAGGCTATGAAATGTGCTGAAGCTTCAGCATTTGGCAAAGAATTGTCTAAGTTACATTATCACCTCATGTTAGTCTTTTTAAGCGTGTACTTTGTACTGCTTGTCAATGGCATATTATCGGATCAGCATTTGGCAAAGACATTTCTGGCTCAACAGATCGCATCCTCCCTGTGAGCTTGTCACACGCTCGCCACGCAAGCCACTTCCAGACTCCATTCGTCATCTAGGCTCTGTTCGGTAGCCACCCTAGTCACATTGTGGTTGGTGCAGGTGATCTTCCGCGGCCCAATTTCAAACAACCTTAAATCCTACCAAATCGTTATTAAAACACCAAACCTGACCAGTGCGGTTTGGCTACCAAACGCGCCATACACCCAACCGAGTGCAGGGGAAGACACTACCTCGAAATTGGTGAGCCCAGGCAAACGAGAGAATTAATGTAGAGCCTGGATTGGTGGTTCATCCTTACTCGCGTGGTCTTGAATTACTCGAGTGGCCACCAGATTTGGTGATAATTACTCGAGTGGCCACGCCAGGGGATTCCCGTTAGTTTTTTAACCCGGCGCATTATCCTACAAGGGTTTGTATCCCCGAAACTTCTGTATGATTCATGCGCGATCTTCAATATCCGAAATTTATGATCGTGACCCCTTATGACCACGCCTGATTGGACGCGCATTGCAAAATAAAGCAACGCGCATATAATCGACCAATCATGCGCGGTCATTAAATGTCCCGCGTATTGACGCCCGGGCATTGCAGTTTATGATCGCGGAAATATATGATCGGGCAATAATATATGATGTGCCCGACCATTAACGACCGCGCATGATTGGTGGACTATATGCGCGTTTAATCAGGCGCGGTCATATAGAGTCATGAACATAAATTTCGAATATATATCATCACGCGAAAGCATCCATTTTAAATCATCGCGTAAATTGAGAATCGCGGAATTATCAATACAGAGGTTTCGGGGATACGAGCCCTTGTAGGGTAATGCGCCGGGAAAAAAAGCCAGCGTGAATCCCCTGGCGTGGCCACTCGAGTAATTATAATCAAATCTGGTGGCCACTCGAGTAATTCGAGACCATGCGAGTAAGATTAAATCAATAGTCCAGGCTCTACAGTAATTCTCTCTTAGGCAAACTCGACAGTCAGCAGGAGTCCATCCCATTTCAGCTTTCCAGTTCCACTCAGGCAGACCCGCTCTGACTGGCATGCTGGAGGGTATACGCTGTATTAGTGTCATTTCGGGCCGAATGAATATTTTTAGTCTGTTGAATTAAAAACGACGAGAGATCGTGCTCATACTCCGTTTTTCTTTCATCCATAATGAGGGATCCCATTTGGCGGACTGATTTCTTATTTGTGGGTCGGGCAGCTGGCAAAATTCGGCCAGTTTTTTTTTTACAAACGCGAGGTAAATTCTTGCAACTATGGACGCAACATCTGTCAAGTGCGAGTGGACGCCCGAGGCTACGAAACGTACCAGAGGCTTCCCCCCCATCAAGTGGGTCCAGTGTGACTGGGAGGCTACCGAACAGGGCCCTAAAGTGTTCCAGGGTGACGATAGAACCAGCACTCGTTGACCGAGGAGCTCTTTGAGAGAATCCGATGGCTCTTAGTTCGACGTTTTCAGCTCCTTAGCTTCCAGCCCCACCGTTCTTGCTGCAGGTAGCCCACATTAGGTCGACATTTCCCAAACGCATAGGCCGGTAGATACTAGGGCAGCGGCGAACCACCGTAACAGTGGCAATGTCGGGCGAGAGCGAGATGGGGCTGATGGCGGCGGGGACGGGCAAGGGCGACGAGCGCAAGGAGGCGCAGCGGAAGAAGAATGTTCGCTTCTCGGGGAACGACGACGACGACGACGATGATGACGCCAAGTGCGCGCCTTCCCCCGTCCAGGTTCTTCGTCGCTCTCGTCCGTGCGACACCTCCGTTCGCCAGCGACGGATTCGCCGCACGCCCCTCGTTCTCCTCATGTCCTCAATTCCGTTCTCCGCGCCCAGCCTTTCTTCCCCTTCCCCTCTCCCGCTTCCCCCCATCCCCCGTTTCCCCCCCCGCGCGCGCGCAGGCCACGGCGCGCGGTGCTGCCGGAGAAGAAGCCGAAGAAGGCAAAAGGCGCGCCCGCCGCCGCCGCTGACGTCAGCGCGATGGATCTCGACGACCTCGGCGCGGAGCCCGGCGCGGCTGGCGGAGGCGCCGTGGGGGCGGCGGCGCTGATGGACTCCGCGGACCCGCGCGTGGCGGCGCTGGCGCGCGCGCAGCAGCGGAAGAAGGGGAAGAGCAAGTGGGGGGACACGGCTTTCGGGGGCGTGGAGGACGTGGTGCGCGCCGAGGAGGACTTCCAGGTGCGGGGGCGAGGGGAAGCGGGGGGAGGGGAAGGGGGGAGGGGAAACGGTGGAGGGGAAAAGGGGGGAAGGAGAGGGGAACAGGGATAGGGAGGGAGCAGGGGAGCAGAAAGAGAGGGCACGGGCAGAAGGAAGGGGTGGGGGGGGGAAAGGGAAGGTGGGTGAAGTGAGGGAGGGGATAGATATGGGAGGAAAAGGGAAGGGAGCAGAGGGGACGTATGGAGGGAGAGCGTGGATGGATGTGGATGGGGGCGATTGGCCTGGTGAGAAAAGGTCGTGAGCGGGAAGCACAGGGGTGTTGAGTGCGGTGAGGCACATGGTAGGGCCGGTTGGGGTGGACGCGTGTTAGAAACGGTCCACTGGGCACGGCGTGTTAGAAACGGTTCACTGGGCACGGCGTGTTAGAAACGGTTCACTGGGCACGGCGTGCAGGCAGTGCTGGCGGTGGGAAGGGGGAGCATGGGGGGTGGGGAGGGGGGAGTGCCATGCTCCGAGCTGGTCGACCCTGACATGCATTCTTTCCTCTCCTCACATGCATTCTTTCCTCTCCTCACATGCATTCTTTCCTCTCCTCACATGCATTCTTTCCTCTCCTCACATGCATTCTTTCCTCTCCTCACATGCATTCTTTCCTCTCCTCTGCTCTGCCCTGCTCGCCATGCCCTGCTGTGCTGTGCCATGCCCTGCTGTGCTGTGCCATGCCCTGCTGTGCTGTGCTGTGGTGAATGGTGTGAGTGAGAGGATGGGCGCATGGTGGGGCGGCATGGTGGCAGGGCGAGGAGGAGGAGGGGGAGGCGATGGAGCCGTTCAACCTGCAGCAGGAGCGCGAGGAGGGGTACTTCGATGCGGAGGGCAACTACGTGGAGTATAGGGAGGACACCGAGGCCACGGTGAGAGGCGAGGACACCGAGGCCACGGTGAGAGGAGAGGACACCGAGGCCACGGTGAGAGGCGAGGACACCGAGGCCACGGTGAGAGGCGAGGACACCGAGGCCACGGTGAGAGGCGAGGACACCGAGGCCACGGTGAGAGGAGAGGACACCGAGGCCACGGTGAGAGGCGAGGACACCGAGGCCACGGTGAGAGGCGAGGACACCGAGGCCACGGTGAGTGCAGGGCGGCCACGGTGAGAGCAGGGCGGCCACGGTGAGATGGGAGGGGGGTGTGGGTGGGTGCAGAGAAAAGCAGGGCGAAGGTAGTGAAGGCATGGTGAGGAAGAGGTTTTGGTAGTACCGAGAGATGCGGTTGCGATGCTTTGACTTGCACTCACGCTATACCCCTTGCACTCACGCTATACCCCTTGCACCCACGCAGCGGAGCACACCCTGCCACTGCTATGCCTCCCCCTCCCCCTCCCGCTCCCCCTCCCTCTCCGTCTCCCCCCCCCACAGGACGCATGGCTGGCGACAGCGGAGGTGGACCCCACGCTGGCAGCCAAGGCAGCAGCGCGCGCCCAGGCAGCAGCGGCACCCCTCCATGTACTCATCTCCCCCTTTCCCCGTCTCCCCCCTTCCGCTCCTTCCTCTTCCCCCTGGCAGGACGCATGGCTGGCGACAGCGGAGGTGGACCCCACTCTAGCAGCCAAGGCAGCGGCGCGCGCCCAGGCAGCAGCGGCAGCGGAGGAGGCGTTAGGCAGCGACATGGGGCACGGGGAGATGGCGGCCATCCGACGGCGCATCGCTGATGCTCTCAGGCCGGGGGAGACGGTGAGTATGGAGGAGGCAGGGGGAGGCGGGAGTCAGGAGGTGGGGGTCAGCGGGATGGGGCACAGCAAGTTGGCAGCGATACGACGGCGCATTGCTGATGCTGTCAGGAGGGGAAGACCATGAGTTTGGAGAGGGGGGTGAGGGTGAAGGTGGGGGGGTTGGGAGGATGGTGAGAGTGGAAGACGAGTCATTAGAGGATGAGGGCAGCAAGGGTGGCAGTGCCAGTCAAGTCAGCATGGGAGGGGGAAACTTCCGCCACACAGCACGTGAAAGATGCTCCGCCTGCCAACTCCAACCGCCTCCCACCGCCTCCCATCGCCTCCCATCGCCTCCCATCGCCTCCCTCGTCCTCCTGCACTCGTGCACCGTGTCTCTACTCTCCTTCCCCCCTCTAAATATTGTTACAAATTTTCCCCTTCTCCACCCGTGCTCTCAAAAACCACCTCCCCTCTTCCCCTCCCCCTCTTCCCCCCCCCCCCCCCCCCTTCACTCTCCGCCCCACCCACGTGCAGGTCATTCAAGGGCTCAAGCGCCTGGGCCGGGGGAAGAAGGGCGCGGGGCAGGGGGGAGCAGGGGGGATGAAGGCGGGGAAAGGGGGGAAGAAGAGGGGTCGTCCGGGGGGTGAAGGGGAAGGGGAGGATGGCGGGGAGGGGAGGGGGAAAGGGGGGAGGCAGCAGAATAGACCACGGTGGATGGAGGAGGCGGGAGGGGGGGAGGGGGAGGAGGGGGGCATGGATGAGGAGGCAAGGCAGCGGCTGTTTGAGCAGTTGACTGAAGACGCGATGCTGCTCATGGATGCTGGCGAGACAGGTACGGCGAGACAGGTACGGCGAGACAGGTACGGCGAGACAGGTACGGCGAGACAGGTACGGTGAGACAGGTACGGTGAGACAGGTACGGTGAGACAGGTACGGTGAGACAGGTACGGCGAGACAGGTACGGTGAGACAGGTATGGTGAGACAGGTACGGTGAGACAGGTACGGTGAGACAGTTACGGTGAGACAGGTATGGTGAGACTGGTATGGTGAGACAGGTATGGTGAGACAGGTATGGTGAGACAGGTACGGTGAGACAGTTACGGTGAGACAGGTACGGTGAGACTGGTATGGTGAGACAGGTATGGTGAGACAGGTATGGTGAGACAGGTACAGCGAGACAGGTATGGTGAGACAGGTACGGCGAGGTAGGTAGGGTGAGACAGAAACGGTGGAAGCAGGGGGCAGATAGTCTGTTGGGTTTTCAATATGTTGTGCACCACTTGTTTCTCCATAGAACGTCTATGCTTCTTCGCACCACTTGTTTCTCCATAGAATGTTTCACAAGGTAGAATGGCACCTGACATATACCACGTGCTCCATGCATGCATCCAGTGCCATAGCACGTCGTTGAAGGCTGCTGGAAGCACACAAGGGCAGCGAGAGCATGTTGCTCCTTCCCTCCCGTGTGACTTGTCGTTGCTGTTTCACGCCCATGATGCATGCTGCACGCAGAGCCACGTTGTGCTCCCCCTTTCCTTGACCCCATGCCACATGGCGTGGCCCAGACGTGTATTCAGTTCGGACAAGAAGAAGATGTTTGAGCGTGAGGCCCGGGGGTATGAGGCCATCCCGCGCGCCCATGGTGCATGCTGCACACCCACACGTGTGTTGCTTGCTTTGCTCCCCGTTCCTTCCCTCCACCCCATGCGGCATGGCACGGTGCGTGCAGAGGTGTACTCGGACAAGAAGGAGACGTTTGAGCGCGAGGCCGCGGGGTACGAGGCCATCCTCAGGGCTCGCCAGGGGCTGCTGGGGGGCGACGGGGGGGAGGGGGGTGTGGGAGAGGGGGGCAAGGGGGAGGGGGCCAAGGGGGAGAAGGGGGGTGCGGGTGGGGAGGAGGGAGGGAGTGGGAAGAAGAGAGGTGCGGGGATGGACATGTTTGGCGACGAGGATGATGAGGCAGGGGCTGGTGCAGGGGAAGGGGGGGCGAAGGAAGGTGAGAGGAAGGAGGTACAGGGAGGGGTAGAAGGGAAAGTAGGGGAGGAGAAGGATGGAGGGGAGGGGAAGGCAGGGGGTGAGGGGAGTGGAGCGCCGAGCAACAGCAGCGGCTACGAGTTTGACCCGTCCACTGGGTGAGTGCATGGCTGTTCCACCTGAACCTTGGCTTCGCGCCCACTGGCTTAGAGAAGGAGGTTCTTCTTCTCTCGTGTGCCCTCCTCAACCGCCCCATCCCCCTCCTTCCCTTCCACCCCACCTGTCCCACCTGTGCCCATCCCTCCCTCCCCGCTTCCCTCCGTGCCACTGTTGGCGAGTGCTATGACTCCTCCCTTCCTTCTCTAAGGCCATCGCACTTCACATGTCCATGCCTGCACTGTCTCTCCTCGTCCCCCCTCCTCTTCCCAACTCCCCTCCCCCCTCCTCCCCCTGCGACTACTTCACATGCGGTTTCATCTCACATGCGGTTTCATCTCACATGCGGTTTCATCTCACATGCGGTTTCATCTCACATGCCCGCCTCCCAAAATGCCGTGCATATTCAACCCCTCATTCCACTCCTTCCCCACCACCCAGCACCTTCCCCCTGTGGCGATTAAACGCCCCCCTTCCTGCTTCTGCTCGTGACTGCTGCCACACCTCTCCTTGTGGCACCGCACCTCACATGCCCCTCTTCCATTTCCTCCCTACTATACTGAAATCGCTTCTGAAGATTCCCAAGAGTGACTTCCCCCATCCTCTCCGGAACTCCCCCACCCTCCCAACCCCTTGGCAGCTACTACTTCAACAAGGAGCAGGGGTACTACTACGACTCCTCCTCTGGTCTATTCTGCAGTGCTGCAAATAGCACATGGTAGGGTTGAGTGCGGTACAGTGCGTGCGGTGACAGAATCTGGTGCGCAGTAGGGTTGGGTGCAGAGCAGTGTACAGCGGTGACAGACAGCCTGCTGTTGGCATGCTGATTAGGTTCTGAGAACAGCCACGGCAGAGTCTGGACTGCACTCACTGCAATGCCGACATGCCATGCCATGTGCTTGCCATGCTGTTCGCACGTGAGCCCAAGCCCCGAAGGTGAAGACCCGCACACGCGTGTTGACACCCCTCTCCGCCCATGGGTCCCGCAGGTACCGCTTCAACGAGGCAACCGGCGAGTACGAGGCGCTGCCAGCTGATGCTGGGCACGGGGGTGCTTCAGGCAATGGCGGTGGCGCGGGTGGCAAGGAAGGGGGGGAGGAGGAAGAAGCTGTGGGCAAGGCTGGTGCTGGCAGCGCAGCAAAGGGGGCAGATGGGGATACGGTAGGTGGGGATGCAGCCGCTACAAAGACAGAGGGAGGGGCGTTAGCAGGTGAGGGGCGAGCAGATGAGGGTGGAGCAGACACAGTAAGAACAACGACGACTGTCGCTGAATAGGATAGGATGGAAGGCAGGTCATGCTGAGCTGAGAGTAGGTAGGTGCTCTGGGGGCGCCATATCATGCTGCGTGCAATCCAGGTGCACGATGATTTGACATGACAGGTTGATCCTAATTGCATTCATTGTCATTTCACGATGTGGTGCCCGCCCGCCCGGCGAAGGATTCACCCTGGGAAGTCGGAAACAGTCCCTAGCAGTAGCAAGTTGTACCGGTACATGAAATTAGGGGTCAAGCTATTTACCGGACACCACATGGAACGGTACCACATTGATGTTACAAGCACTGCATGGCCAGTCCCGCACTACCTGCACTCGAAAAGCTTTTGGATATTTCATCCAGTCCCAATCCTGAACCTCAGAGTCCATCCAGCCACCTCATCCCACACTGTCCCGCCACATGGCACATAGATCACCTTGTTGTGTCGCACCAGAGCTTGGATACATACAGTACAACACTACACGACATGAGACAGCAGGGAGATGAACCACAAGTCAGGCAGGCAGTTGTGAGAAGCAGTGCATGGCGGTGGCATGGTGCCAATTGAGTCATGACATGCCATGCCCACTCCTGCGCCCAACTTGCACCCACACACGTCTGCCTGCTTGTCCCCGTCCGCCACACCACAGCGGTACCGCTATGTGTTGCCTGACGTCATGCTCCCTCCATGCATACAGCGGTGCTCCCTGGCCCTTGGCTCGTTGGATGTGCTTCACGCGTGTGCTAGCAGTGGGTTGCATGCGCGTGCTGTGGGCTATGCTGATGGGCACCATTGATGCTGTCACCCTGTGCCTGCTGCTGCCAGTGCAGCCATTCTCGTGAGCACACGCGGTGGCATCTGCATGCCAACGATGCGGCCAACCAGGGAGAGCCAGCTCAGCATGTAGAGCTCGAGCGCCAGAGAGTGGTGGTGTGATGCTGCAGTGGTGGTGGCGACAGGTGCACCGACCGCTGCTGGCCTTGCGCTCACCTCACTGGTAGCCCCATCTGCACCACTTGCTGCAGCGGCCGCACCACCAGCAGCACCACCCCTAGCAGCAGCAGTGGCAGTAGCACAAGCAGCACTGCCTGCAGCAGCATGAGCATGAGGCGCAGCAGCAGCGTGCAGCAGCAGCGCCATGGCAGCGGGAGTGTTGCAGGGGTGAAGGGCCACACAGGGCCGGCCCAGGAAGGGATGCTCCTGGCAGCACGGAGAGGGTGGCACGGGGAGGGTGGCACGGGGAGGGTGGCACGGGGAGGGTGGCATGGGGAGGGTGGCATGGGGAGGGTGGCATGGGGAGGGCGGCATGGGGAGGGTGGCATGGGGAGGGTGGCATGGGGAGGGTGGCACGGGGAGGGTGGCATGGGGAGGGTGGCATGGGGAGGGTGGCATGGGGAGGGTGGCATGGGGAGGGTGGCATGGGGAGGGTGGCATGGGGAGGGTGGCATGGGGAGGGTGGCATGGGGAGGGTGGCATGGGGAGGGTGGCATGGGGAGGGCGGCATGGGGAGGGTGGCATGGGGAGGGTGGCATGGGGAGGGTGGCACGGGGAGGGTGGCATGGGGAGGGTGGCATGGGGAGGGTGGCATGGGGAGGGTGGCATGGGGAGGGTGGCATGGGGAGGGTGGCATGGGGAGGGTGGCATGGGGAGGGTGGCATGGGGAGGGTGGCACGGGGAGGGTGGCATGGGGAGGGTGGCATGGGGAGGGTGGCATGGGGAGGGTGGCATGGGGAGGGTGGCATGGGGAGGGTGGCATGGGGAGGGTGGCATGGGGAGGGTGGCATGGGGAGGGTGGCATGGGGAGGGTGGCATGGGGAGGGTGGCATGGGGAGGGTGGCATGGGGAGGGTGGCACGGGGAGGGTATCATGGTGAGGGCAGTGCAGCACACAGTGCATTGGCAGCGAGCAATGCAGTGCATCCAACAATAGTGAGTGAATGAGTGAGGAGAGGCGATGGGAAGGCATGCATGTAGTGCAGCATAGCTTCAAGTGCGGGCCACAGCCAATGGTCCATGCATGGTGCTTGGGGCACGGGATGCCATGGCAGGTGTCGGTTGGTGGTGAGAGCATGAGCGATGGAGCTTGTGGGTGGGGGCGTACCAGGGGTGTGAGCAGGTGCCAGGTGTCCAGAGAGGGGTCATGTGCGGTGGGCGGACGAGGGGCGGAGGGGAGGGGTGAGGGCAGCAAGGGGTGGTCGGGAAGGCGCGGCAGGAAGGCAAAGAGGTCCCGCCAGGGCAGGGGGCGGCCGTCTGTGCGGGGAGGGGGGAGGGGGTGGTGCCATGGAGGGTTGGGGGGGTGGGAAGGGATAAGTGTGGTGATGGATGGTGGATAGGGAGACGAAAGGAAAAGTGGGCAGCAGAGGAGCACGTGGAGGGAGGGTGGGCACAGTTTCAAATGTGAGAGGCGCCCTGTTGCTTGCACGTGTGAGAGGCGCCCTGTTGCTTGCACGTGTTGGGCCCATGGTGGAAAGGTGCATGAGAGCGGAGTACGGCCGTGACATGGCCAGCACACATGGGCGGCATGGCATGGCATGGTTGACATACCAGGGCGGCATGGCAGGAGCAGCAGTTGGGGCACCGAGTAAGCAGCATCAAACACCACGTGGCAATGCACCAGAGCCACCGCGTCACTCGCTGCCACGTCACTGGCTGCCACGTCACTTGCTGCCACGTCACATGGTTGCTGCACACTCTTCGTCCCACCTGCTCCATCGCCACACATCGCCTGCCCACCTGTCCACCCACCAGGAGTCTCTCCGCTTGCCCCCTCTGCGTGTTGCAGGAGTGTCTGTGGTGCTGCTGCTGCCACTGCACCTACTGCTGCCAGCACTGACGTGTGGTGGGGATGCGCGCAGCAGTGCAGAGTGGCAGGGTCGTGCGCCTCCTCGCCACTCAGGTCAATCGAGTCAACGGGGTCAATCGAGTCAACGGGGTCAATCGAGTCAACGGGGTCAATCGAGTCAACGGGGGCAACGGGGTCAACGGGATCCACTGGGTCAAGTGGGCAACAGCCGGGGTGGTGCTGGCTGTGCGCGCGGTGCAGCAGCAGCGGGTGGCGGGTGGTGAGATAGCCGCCTGGGCCAGGGCAGTGGGAGGGATGGCGGGTGCAGGGACAAGGGAGGAGGCGTGCAGTTATCATGGCAATGCCAGATGAGGCCGCATGGAGGGAGGGCGAGGGAGTGGATATTAGATCGGACGAGAGTGTGAAGTTATTTGGGAGTGGGGAAGGGACGGAGGGAAGAGAGGGGCGAGTGGATGCGACGGAGAGGGGAGAGGCAACTGGAAAGAGGGCCGGAGTGGGCAGGAAGGGGCTGAGAGGGGCGTGGACAACGAGCAGGGTGGTTCAGGGAGGTGCGCGAGACAGGGAGTGGGGGAGGAGGAGGAGGGTAGCAGGAGCGAGGGGAGAAGAGAGCACACACCTGTGCATCTCGTGTAGGAGAGGTTATTTTTGAGACGTCTCAAAAATGACCTCTACACGCGGCCCCCGTGCCACGTAGCGCCACCCATTCGCCCACTCACCCCCCACTGCCAGCGACGACGCCCGCGCCGTAACCCACTGCCACTTCACGCCCTCCGCGCGCCTCTCGCAGCGAGCGTCCTCCACTCCCTGCCGTTCACCCGCCACATCTGCCGCCGCATTCCGCGCTGCCGCGGAACCACCCCCCTCACTTTGGGCCGCCGCCCACGCTGCTACTGCGCTTCCCGCTCGTCCACTCCGCCGCGCGCCTGCCGCCGCGGGGGAGCTGCGAGGCGGCTCGCCAATCAACTGCGCGTCTTCCGCCGCGTTCCACGCTGCTGCGAGTCTGGCCGCGGCGAGCGGGAAATCCGCGGCGCTGATTCGCCCTGCGCGGAGCGCCGCGGCCATGCCCCTGACGAGTCGACGATCCACTAGTGTATGCGCGACGCAAGGTGACCTTAAGGCGAGTTAAAAAGTCACATACATGCGCGACGCGACTCGCCAAGACGAGGCCGCGTGCTCCTCCATAGTGACCACGAATCAGCGCGCTCATCTATGTGCGCCGGGCGAACCAGCGCGCTCATCTATGTGCGCCGGGCGAACCAGCGCGCTCTGCGTGACTTGGGCGGAAAAGGACGCGACCGCGGAGAGGTGGATCGCTCGTGGCTGCGCGTTGGCGTCGTCGCACATATCGTGCAGCGCGTGACGCGAGGATAAGGATGCGACGAGATGGCAATGTCGGGCATGGCAGCCTCGCACCCCGCACCTCGCACAATTTGATGTCCGAGTGAATCCGATCGGATTTGCACTGCGACCGCGCCGCGCCCAGCACTGGGACCAACGGGAAGGGGGGGGGGGTGGGTGGGAGGTAGCGATGACGTGGATAAAGGCGGCGGCGCCAGCAGCCTCAATACCACACACTCCCCCGACGCTGCACCAACGGGCGCGCCGCGAAAGCTTGAGCGGGGGCACGCTGGGGACCTGGCGTGACGAAAATTAGGGTTGTGCATTTTGCGGTCATAGTTGAGGGTCTCCTCCAGCGGATCAGGGAGTTGATCAGATCTTGTCCCCCGCACCGCCGCCTCGCACGCTCCTATCCCCTCTCCCCTCGCCGCACAGCCGCTGTGGGTGGGAGGCGTGGAGCGAAACGCGCGCGCGTCCGCTGTCAGCCCCACCAGCTCAACAAGCGTCCGTTGGGGCTAGCCGTACAGGGATTCCGCGTACCACACTCCACTGGTAGATAGAAATTCCTGCCCGCGCCACACCGAGGCGCATCGGCGTATCGTAGCCGTTGCGCGTTCGTTCCGTGACTGCCCCACCTTGCGCGCAGCCGCTGCAACGCACGGCGCACAGCGCTGGTGGCGGAGTGGGAGGCGCGGACGACCGGAAGGGCGGATGCGAGGGAGCGAAGGCGGATGGGGGATCCGTTTGGCGGAGGCGGGCACAGGAGTGGGGATGAGCGGAACGAGCGGGGGGGAAGGGACGGAGGGCAGGGGAGTGGTACAACAGGGACGATCGGGAGGAGCGACGGGGAGGGCGGGGGGGAGAGGAGCGTGGAGGAGGTGCGGGTCGCCGTGGAGACGCTGTGGCGCCACTCGCAGCTCCTCTCCGCCATATGCGCCCCTCATTCCGCGCCCATACCTCGCACGGCCCGCCCCGCTCCCCCTTGCCCACTCCCCACTCCCCTCACCGGAACCTCTGTGCAATCACCCCCTCCTCTCACGAACCATACACTCACTGTCACAATATCATTCCCACTCATGCACCTATCACTCACCCTTTCACTCCCATTGCTGTGATGTTCTTGTCTCATGTGCCTCCTGGTCCCATCCGCCCTCCTCGCCCCACCCCCCTCCACACCAGCCTCCACGAGCGTGAGCGCTTACCGGCAGCAGCGCCACAGGGGGCAGCGTGGGGTCAACCGCGAGGCAGTGTTGCTGCAGCAGCACCATCAGAACCACTCCCCACCGCCGAGCCGGCACCCAAACCCACAGCAGCTGCAGCAGCGGCAGAAAAAATGGCGGCGGCAGCAGCAGCAAGGGAAGAAGCGGAGGCGGTGTGGGCGAGAGCAGGCGAGCAGGTGGGCGGCGGCGAGGTGCAGCGCCTCATGGCGCCCCTCTCCCGCCTCATGGTGCCCCTCTCCCGCCTCATGGCGCCCCTCTCCCGCCTGCTGCTCGCCCTGCAGGGGGGGGGGAGAGGGGGAACGGGGGGGGCTGGGGGGGCTGAGGTTATGCGAGGGGACGATGAGGTGGGGGGGGAGGGTTGGGACGGAAGAGAGGGAGAACAAGACGGAGAGCGGAGGAGAGGAGGAGGTGAGGAGGGTGGGGAGGAGGGGGAAGGGGAGCGAGCAGTGGGGTGGGTGGAGCGAGTGGTGAGGGCGCGGGGCAGAGCGGTGAGGAAGAAGCGATGGCGGGCGACGAGGCGAGCACAGCAGACAGTGGCATGGCAGCAGGTGAGGCACCGACAGAGGCAAGAACACGAATGAGCTTCGTTTCTTCCCCCCATCCCCGCCTCCCCACTCACTCCTGTCCTTCCCTACCCACGCCCTACCCCCGTTTCTTCCACCACCCTCTGCCTGCCCCTCTCTCTCTCTCTCTGACCAGTGGGCCCTGTGCATGGGTGGGTCGTGCTTCTCCCCCCGCTCCCCACTTTCTTCTCTACTGCCTTTCCCACTTATTTCTTCCCTACTAGCCGACCCGTCCCCCACGATCCCCCTCTCATCCAACACCCCCCTCCCCACCTTTCCTCTCCACACCCCCCTTTCTCACGGGTGGCCGCTATGTGGGCGTGCGGGGTGCCGTGGGTGGGTGGGGCAGAGGGAGGAGCAGCGGCAGGTGGTGGAGGCGAGGATAGACGCGTGGAGGGCGCGGGTGATGGAGAGAGATGCACAGGCGAGCATGGTGAGTGGCGCATGGTGAGTGCTAAACCGTGTGTGTGAACGCGCAGGCATGGGGCGACAATTGTTTGTGCCTGAGTGATCCGCGCTTGCTCTTGAGGCCTTCTTCTCAACCACTGCTGCTCTTGCCTCTGCTGCTTGAGGAATCAGCTTTGCGCTCCCCACCACCCACTAAATTCAAGCCCCTCAGTTGCTCACCCTGTCGCTTTTTCTGCCATCGTCCCTCCATCCCGCTGTCCCACTCCTGCCCTGCCCTGGTAGGCACGCCAGCAGCAGACGGAGGAAGAGGCCAGGGAGAAGAGGGAGCGAGCCCAGCTGCAGAAGCAGGTGCAGTGCGGTGAAAGCAGAATCGGTGCGGTGGAACTGCGAATGGTGTATGCAAGGGATGAAGATGGTGTGTGGTGCATGGAGATGGATGGGTGGGTGTGTGTCTGTGTCAGTAGCAGGGCACGTGGGTGATGCCCGTAGGTGACTGGGCATAAATGCAGGTGTGTTGTGCACTTGCGGGCGTGGGACATGGGTAGCATGTGATGCTCATCATCACCTGCCACTTGTAGGCGTGGGACAACTGTGCTGAATTATGCCCAAGTGCACTGCCTTTGAATTATGCAGAGGGGGGGGGGGGGGGGGGGGAGGGGGGGGAGGGAGGAAGCAAGTGCAGGGGCCTGGGCGTACGGCTCTGCTACTTTCACCTGGGCGTATATTGGCTGCTCTCCTTCCGTCCTCCTTCCTCCCCCTCCCTCGCCACTCTCCCCCTTCCCTCCCCTCTCACTTCCCCGTCTCTCCCTCCCCCTTCCCTCCCCCATTTAATTCCCCCTCTCTCTCCCCCTTCCCCTCCCCCTTACTTCTTCCTCTCTCTCTCCCCCTTCCCCTCCCCCTTACTTCCCCCTCTCTCTCTCCCCCTTCCCCCCCCCCTTACTGCCCCCCCCCTCCCTCCTTCTTCCCTCCCCCATTACCCCCGTGCACCGGGCGCACGGCCCCCAGGTGGATGCACTGATGCTGGTGGCGCGCCTGAGGGAGCTGCGGCGCCTGCGAGGGCTGCGCGCTCGCAAACGCGGTGAGTGATGGGACGAGGGGAGGAGGGGGGGGGAGGGGGAGATAGGTGTGCAAGGATGAAGACTAGGTGAGCAGGGCAGGGAAAGGGGGAAGAGAGGGGGGACGATAGGCTTTTCACATGCAGAGTCTATGCAGAAAGGTTTCTTAATGCTTGGAAGAATGAGGTTTAGCTTTTTCAAAGCTTGTCGAAGCTTCGTTCGAGCTTGCAGTGAAGCGAAAGATTGGGTGAAAGAACAGGTAAGAATCAGGTAATGGATCAGGCGAAGGATCAGGCCCTGTTACGAACGAAGACAACCTCGGGGGCTCGAGACGTGGCTTCCAGGTTTTCCCAAACGCTGCCTGTTTTTCAGGCTGATCTGGGGGAAGTGTGTCTTCAGAAGTAGAGATTTCTTTTGAATAGCTTTTCCCTCAGTTCTATCTCATCGGCACGTACAAACGCATGCGACATGTTTGTCTTTGTGTGCGACATGTTTGTCTTTGTGTGCGACATGTTTGTCTTTGTGTGCGAACCACGGTTTAGTGAAGGTCTCCTTTTTACAGAACGTGCCATTAAGGTCTCCTGAATCAGCAGGCGTTTCTTCTCGGTTCCTTCCCACGTTGCAGAACGTTCCAATAAGCTGCACTTATCCATGACTGGTTGCCCTTGGCCTTGGCCAGTCCTCCCCGAGCCTTGCAACCTGGTCCAAGGCTGCTGCTGCTTTCCGGCACACACAGAGAGACTCCGCCCCTCTCTTGCCCATTCTTTTCTCTCCCCCCTCGCCCTTCCCCGGTGTTCTCATGCCCTGCCGTGTGGTGGGTGGGAGCACCCTGGCAGGGCGGGTGGTGGAGGGCGACGAGGATGCGTTCATGCGCGCTGTGAGAGAGGCCGTGCGGGAGGAGGACTCACGGGGGGTTGTGCACGAACTCAAGGAGGGGAGGGGAGGGGCGGAGGGGCACGAGAAAGGGAGGGGAGATGGGGAGGAGGCCGAGGGAGGGGAGAGGGGGTGTGGAGGAGGAAGCAAAGCTGAGAGCATGCGTGTGGGAACAGCGGGCAGCGGAAGCGAGAACGGCCGTTGGTGGGAGCGGAGGGGATGGTGGGGATGGGGGAGATGGGGGAGATGGGGGAGATGGGGGAGATGGGGGAGATGGGGGAGATGGGGGAGATGGGGGAGATGGGGGAGATGGGGGAGATGGGGGAGATGGAGGAGATGGTGGAGATGGGGGAGATGGTGGAGATGGTGGAGATGGGGGAGATGGTGGGGATGGGGGAGTTGGTGGGGGCATGGAGGAGGCAGGGCAGGGCCAGGGGCAGGCAGGCATGCGTGGCAGCAGGGAGGGGGGAGCACACCACCTGTCCCTGCATGGCCTCGCAGCAGTGCGGTGCCGGTGGGATGCCTTCCTGCTGCCCCTGCCTTGCTCTGCCCCAACCCCTCACCCCCAAGTACCTTATCACCCTCTACGCGCTCTCGTCTCTCACACCCATCAGCTCCTCCCGCCGACCTCCTCCTTCATGCTTGAAGGTCCGCCTGCTGCTCCGGCCGCTGCTGCCGCTGCTGCTGCTGCTGCTGCGGCTGCTGCTGCTGCTACTGCTGCGTCGCTGTCCCCAGGTGTGCTTGCCCCAGGCTCGTCAGTGCCTCCATGCTGGCTGCCTGGCCCCCCACCTGCCACCTCCGAATGGCGGCGCTATCTTCTCGGGAATCACTGAGCCTTTTACTCTTGCCTTTCTTTCTGATTTTGGTATCACTGGAAGAAGAGGCTTGCTTTGGTGCTTATTTTGCTTGCCCATCATACGGTAGTTTTAGCTAAGAATTTTAGGGTGGTTGATGAAATTTTTATTTTCCTTATCGGGCTTTACTACCGTATCTAACATTCTATGCCCTCTATAGTACAGCACAGCCCAACCTAGCCTACAAAATACACAAGCAAAGCAAATGTATACCATGTGTGCGCTGGGAAATGGTATGAAATAATTTCGTACCAAAAAACATCCCCACTCCATTTGGCTTAACGCTGAAACCCTTACAGCAGGGCCCTAGGTATCAGACTTTTTACGCCGATTCAGCGTTAGATCAGGCTTTTTTTGATACACTAAGCTGAAGTCCAAGTTTTTTTTTTTGTATGTTGGCTGATTTTCCAGAGTTTTTATCTATGTCTTCTCTGTTTTTACAGCCTCAATGAGTGTACGCTGTGCCTCAGCCTTCTATCGGGGGTGTGCCAGAATGTGATGTTTGTCTAGCATGCAGTGGGGTACTCTATAGCGAGTACAGCCCGAATTAGGGTTTGCTATATGTACTCAACTGCCTGCTAGTGAAAACCCCTCTTTCCTGTTTCTAATTTCTGCCTACTGTTTCGACATGCTATCAGAGCTGGTCGACCCTGTGGATGGGCCCACCGTTAGCTTCCGCTGCAGTCCTGCCTATCGCGCGCCTCAGGCGCGCGTCGTTTCCTGCCTGCCGCGCGCTCAGGGCGCGCGGCATTTTTTCTTCCTGCCGCGCGCTCGGGCTGCGCGGCGGTTTCCTGCCCCGTCGACCCGCGCGTCGCCCTCCGTCGCCCGTCGCCACGCCTCCGGAGACCCGCACGTCGCCCCCCGTCGCCCGACGCGGCCCGTGCGACCTGCGCCAGGCCCGCGCGCGGCTCGTTTAGCCCGCGCGCGGCCCGTACGGCCGGCCCCAGGCCCGCGCGCGGCCCGTACAGCCAGCGCGCGGCGCGTACGGGCGGCGCCAGGCCCGCGCGCGGCCCGTACAGCCCGCGCGCGGCTCGTACGGCTTGCGCCAGGCAGGCGCGCGGTTCGTACGGCCCGCGCCAGGCCCGTGCGCGGCCCGTACAGCCTGCGCCAGAGCCGTACGCTGTCCCCCAAGCTGCTGCCCGAGCCGCGCACCATCCCCCGAGCTGCTGCCCGCCCACCGCCCCCCGCTGCTGCCTGTGTTAGGGTTTGGGGGTGGCGAGTGTGGGGGTGGCGAGTATGGGGGTGAACGGTGTGTGCGCCGTCCCCTGCTCCTCCTCCTCCTCTGTCTCCCACTGCTGCAGCTGTCGCTGAAGGGGGTGGATGTGTTGGAGCCGTTGGAGTGGTACGAGGGGGGTGGCGTGTGAGCAGTGCTAGGGGTACAGCAGGGAGTGTGTGAAAGGGGTGTGGGACAGTTGGGGGAGGTTGACCGGAGGTAGCCGGTGTGACGTCAGCAGCGCCAGTACTCCGGGGGTTGAGTACTCCGGTAGCCCAGCGAGCCTGCTGCTGCCAGTCGCCCATGGGTCTGTTGCTCCTGCTGCTGCTTAGCGCGGAGCCAGTTACTCATGTAATCCGGAGGTTGAGTGCTCCGGTAGCCACCGTGCACGCCGTTCCTGTTGCCCGTGTGTCTGCGGCTTCACCCGACGCCTCCTATCTCCACTCCTCTCACAGTTCCTCCTCCTCCTCACTTGCGTTCTGTGACTACCTCTTGCTTTGCTTGTATTTGTGAACCTACTGCTCTGCCTGCTTGCTGTGCTGATTATACCCCACTTTGACTATGGGGGTGTGTCAGAATGTGATGTTTGTCTAGCCTGCAGTGGGGTACTCTATAGCAAGTACAGACCAAATTAGGGTTTGCTATATGTACTCAACTGCCTGCTAGTGAAAACCCCTCTTTCCTGTTTCTAGTTTCTGCCTACTATTTCGACAGGGTGCACTCTAAAACCGGGATTACGGGGATTCTGGCCAGCAAGGCGGTGTGTAGGGATAACACCGTCAATCATGGCCGGTAAACTGTATTTCCCCCCCGCGGCACCGCTCAGTCGTGTTGGTACAGCAAAGCTGCCATCAGCGACAATTCCAACCAATCGGGCATGTGCAGCAACCAGCGTTGGCAACATTCCTTGCCAACGCATAGCTCGCAGCGCTATGCTTCACGCACGACACCAGAACCATCCACCCCACCCCACATGCGCTGCATACACGGCCAGGTGACGTGCATGCATGGAGCAGTGAGGGTTTCACAATGAGGTCCTAAAAAGGTGACCTCCTCAACTCACCCAGCGTGACCGTTCCTGCAATTCCCTCTGTCGCTTGGCTCTCCCTTAGATCTTTGCCATCCCTTGTTACTACTGCCTGATCCCTCGTTTCAGGCAGCTTCTCCCAACCTAGCAAAACACTGCTCGGCAGATTCAACGGCTGCCACAGACACTGCTGCGGACGAGCTGGACGACGACGACGATGTAGGTCGTCGCCCCATTTGATTAATCTTCTATTATTTCTTCTAGGTGACATGGCGACGGGCCTCGACTTTCTTAAGTCATCCTTAGCTACGCCCTGTGCACCGCCAGCGGCACCGTCTCTGCCCAGCACGAGTCACACTCCAGAATCTGTGCACCTGGATTCTCTGCCCGAAGCCGCCACAGAACATGTGACAAACACGCCTCAGATGGAGCTACATGAGGCGTCCGAAGAAACTCCATCCCGTCAAGCGCCACTACCGAAGCTGTGTTTACGACAGGTCACCATTGCGTGGGGAACTCCACCACCTACTTCGAGTGTTCATGCTCCTGTGGCGGAGGAATCACCTAATCAGGACAGCTCCAAACCCCGTCCCGAGAAAGTTGTGCTGAACTACGAAGAAGCGCACGACCGTTTCAAGTCGAGGTGGTGTACGGATTATCCATGGCTGATACTAACTATGACTTCTGCTGGTGCCCCCTCTTTTAAGTGCAACATATGCATGGAATTCGCGGGATTGGCAGGCAAATGTGGACGGCGTGGAGAAGGCGCTACCGACGTGCAGACGCAGGCCTTCAAGAAGCATGAGGGTACCACGAAGCATAAGTTAGCACTGCAGAGGCAAGACGACCTGCTGCAAAAGGTGGAGGGACAACGCCGCATCGATCTACACCCCAAGGCGCAGGACAAGAAGATGGTGCAGATCTCGGCACTAGCGGAGTCGTTGTACTTCATGAGCAAGTGCAACGAGCCCATGGACTCATGGATCCAGCTTGTGCGCTACCTCGCGAAGAAAAGGGTGCTCGGGTTTCCGGAGAATGGATACGGCACATACTACAATACGTACGTGACTCCTGCTTTTACAATTCTCAAAGCATTGCCCTCAGATTAGCATTTCGCGTGTAGCTCACTCTCGTGCTCTTTTTTCATTTACAGGTACGGCTTTGGTGAGCTGACTCAAGGAATCGCGACATGGCTCCAAACAACGCAGGTGGGGCATCTTCTAACGAGTTCCTTCATCGGGATCACGCTGGACGAGAGCACCGATCGGCGACGTGGCAAACACATGATTGTGTTTGCCACCTTCATCCGCGATGGCGTTGTCGTCACCGAGTTTTTCGCACATCTCACAGTTGAGAAGGCCGACGCTGCATCCCTTTCCCACCTCAGGGCTGTCGGCGTGGACCTCCGCCGAATATCAGGCATGAGGACAGACGGGGCGATGGTCATGGTGGGGCAGCATACAGGAGTAGTTGCACGCATCCGAATGCCCATCCCCAACCTCGTCTCTGTCAGTAGATCTGCACTGTGGATGCCCGATTGATCCTGGAGAGGGTTACAAGCCCGTTCGTCTGGGGGGTTATGGGCGCATTGACCCGCTACTGAAACAAGCCCTTTTATCCCAATGGTCTAGTGGTTGGGATTCTGACATGGTATCAGAGCGGTCTCGGGTTCGATTCCCGGTGTATGCACATGTAGGCCGTTGCCGCTATGCTTAGTCCTGGGCCTCCCAGTGTGGGGGGGTGTCAGTAGATCTGCACTGTAGATGCCCGATTGATCCTGGAGAGGGTTACAGGCGCGTTCGTCTGGGGGGTTATGGGCGCACTGACCCGCTACTGAAACAAGCCCTTTTATCCCAATGGTCTAGTGGTTGGGATTCTGACAGTCTCGTCCACTGCATCGCACACCGGTACGTCTGGCTCTGCATTTTTAACAGCATGATTAAGGTCGTGTTGCTATTTAACTCTATAATCTTGTGTGTGTTGTGTTACTTGCAGAGAAGCACTGGCTGCAAAAGCTGCAGCCGAGGAGATCCCCACCTTCAACATGGTCGACGACGTCATCTGCGCCGTCGCTGAGTACCTTGGGCGTTCGGGTCCTTGGCATCAACGCTTCATGGAGCTCCAAGAGGTCTTCACATCCACGAACCTCGAGGTGCAAGGCATATACGAGGTTCGATGGCTGTCGCGGGGTGCTGCAGTGGCGCGGTTTGTCAAAGTCATGCCCGCCATTATTGTGATGCTGTCCGAGTGGAAGGACCAGACGATGTACGAGTTGGTAACGTCCTATCGCTTCCAGTTCCTTGTGAGGTTTCTAGCGGACGTGCTGGATCTGCTGGACGTCCTCTCCAAGGTTTTCCAGCATCGAGAGGTAAGTGACAGTTCATTTGTTTTTCAGATTAGTGTTTTTTGAAGTCCTAGTACCAACTACCAGTGATTCGTGTGTGGCAGCTTGACTACCCACTCGTGCACACTCAGATCGTGCGCACAACCTCTCTCCTGGAGAGCCGCTACATAGACAGTGGCGTGGCGATGATTTCGGCGGCGGCACCAGCGAGCTTCTGTATCGGTTCATCGCCAAGCGCGGGCCACAAGGGTCGCCGCAGATGGTGGTGGAAGGTGCCTCGTCAGACGGCAGCATGAACCGCTTCCGTTTCGAACTTCACGAGCGCAAAAACAAGAACTACCTTGGACCCGGCCATCATGACGCCTGTGTCGCACTCTGCACCGACATGGCCGAGCTCCTCGTCAACAATCTCCACTCAAAGCTTGGTGACCTCGATTCGCTGGCTGGAGTGCGCCTCTTCATCCCGGACATGTGGCCACCGAACTAGGATCGGCAGGCTAGGCAGGCGCAGTGTCTGGAGTGGCTGTTGTCGCTCGCCACTCTGTTTCACGCCGACGACTCGCGCGAGATTCTGCCAGGTTAGTTTTTGCTTGGTCATTCATTGCACACGTTTGACACTTGCCCGCTCGTTTTAAACTAATACATTCCACATTGTTACTTACATCGCAGGCATTGACAAAAAGCGGGCGGTCAAAGAGCTGAGGACTCTTTGCCCAGCCTTGGCCAGGGCTCCCAAGATCGAGCGGAAGTTCCATTCGGGACTGGCAACCATCTTCAAGACTCCAGATTGGCAGCAGGCATACCCCAACCTTGTCGACCTATGGATGGCGGTAGCAGTGTTGCCTCTCAGCACTGTTGAGTGTGAGAGAGGTTTCTCGCGACAAAACCTCATCAAAACGTGGCAGAGAGGCAGTATCAAGGACTGCAGGCTTAGCGATTTGTTGTGCATGTCATTACTAGACTACGAGCTAGATTTGCCAGGAGTAGTTAAAGTGTGGCGCAGCTACAAGAAGCGCCGTCCAGTCACAGCACTTGCTGCAAGACACAGGGACCCTCCAAGAGTTGGCAAGGAGCATGTAGAGGAGGGGCCAGTAGCTGATCGTGCCCCTCTAGAACGTTATCAGTCAAACTCTGATTCAGATATGAAGGAAATGATTACCGTAGAACAAGGGTTTTACAATACTGCATGTTCAGTAACAAATTTTCAATACCGTCACCCCCCGGATATACCCCCATGGGGGGCAATAATAAAACAGGTTTTTTCAAGGGGGTGGGCTTATAATCGAGTAAATTTATAAGCGCCGGCGTTTATAAAATGACATTCATATTTTTTATATTGTTTAACACCAAACTGTAGGTCTCGTGCTTGCCCTTTCAATCGAGTCGAATTTACATGGGGTCGTCTGTGAAATTCTCGCGCGCGCTGGGAGACACACCCAATCTGACTCACATCCAGCTCCTGACAGCTCCTGCTGACTGGACCCGCATCCAGTGCAGGGTCCGAATGTGAAGGGAACCGAATCTGCAACATATCTGCCTGCTAAAGTAAAAATCATTACAACGTTTTGTACACATTTCAAATTTTAAAGTTTACGTGCGCTTATAATAAAACTAGTTTTTTCAGGGGGTGCGCTTATAATCGAGGAGGGGATATAAGCGCCATATGCCAATTAGAAGCGCCAGGCGCTTATCCTAGGGTGGCGCTTATATCCGGGGGGTGACGGTATAACGCTGATTGTTCAGCCTAGGCCAGTTAGGTGTGTCTGATTCTCCAGCCTAAAATTTTGCAGCAACACTGACAGACAGAGTACCAGGAGGGATGCACACTGTGCTGTCAGCGTGCCTCAAAACGAATATACGCCCTGCCTTACAGCCTCCCCACAATTCGAAAACAAGATAAATCGTAACCCAAGGAGATTGCCATCCTGGTGTTTCAAATTCTTTTCTCGATTCCTCCCTGGCATGGCTTTGTCAACTCCCTTGGACCGTCGATTCTCTTGTGCTTTCTCCTCCGGCAGGTGATGTCAGATGTGAGACTGGCCCTCCTTTCCCTCTCCTCAACACCCCTGCTGCCGGTTGAACTTCTGCAGACAGCAGTGCAGCAGAAGCATGCACGAGTGGAGCCTGAGTTGCCTGAGGCGTAGGAGCAGCAGAGGAGGTGAGGGCGAGTTTGAAGGCCTGGTACTCGCGGTCGTTGGGCAGCCCCAGGCGCCTGCAGAAGGCCTCGTCCGTGGGGGTCAGCAGGCTCAGCGGGAAGGCTGTGGACGGCAGCGGCGCTTGGGGTGGGGGAGGCGGAGAGGAGGGCTCCGAGAAGGGCCGGGCGGATGAGAGAAAGGCGAAGGGGTGGGCGGGTTGGGCTGGGTGCGGGGCCGGCGGTGGTGGCATGAGAGACGCGTCTGTGGGCAGTGGCAGCGCGGGAAGGGAGGTGGGAGTGGCAGGAGATGAAGAGGTGGCAGCACGGGGTGAGGCGGAAGGGTCGTGGGCAGGTGGCAAGGAAAGAGAAGACAGCAGCTGAGGAGGGGCATCGGTGGGAGCGGAGGCGGCTCTGCAATGCAGGTAGAAGAGGTGGCGCGGGCGGATGCGGGCGTGCAGGGAGAGGGAGAAGTAGGCGGGGAAGGAGACTATGGAGTTGGGCGAGCCGCCCAGGTGGTGGATGAGGTAGTCGTACTTGGGCGCCAGGCAGTTGGGCACTGAGAGGGAGAGAATCTGACAGTGAAGGGGGGCAAAGGTGTGGTCGGAAGGGGAGGAGGGCGGGGAAGGAAACATGGGGAACCGAGACAGGAGAAGAAAGAAACGGTCACAGGCGAAAAAACGGGGTACAGAGGTGTTAGAAGATGGGGGTTGGCACAACACACTGTTGAGCACACCTGGGGCAGGCGGAAGAGCACACCTGGGGCAGGCGGAAGAGCACACCTGGGGCAGGCGGAAGAGCACACCTGGGGCAGGCGGAAGAGCACGTGTGCGACATCCCGGCTGGAGAGGCCGATGCTTCTGAGGAATGCCACCCGCGGGCGCACGGCGTCGTCCAATGAGTAGTGCAGCAGCTGTGGATGGCTGGGGGAAGAGCGGGGGTGGGTGGGCATGACAAGCATGGTGAGATGCATGGTGAGACGAATGGTGTGACGCATGGTGGGATGCATGGTGGGGTGCATGGTGGGATGCATGGTGGGGTGCATGGTGGGATGCATGGTGGGATGCATGGTGGGGTGCATGGTGGGGTGCATGGTGGGATGCATGGTGGGATGCATGGTGGGATGCATGGTGGGATGCATGGTGGGATGCATGGTGGGATGCATGGTGGGGAGCACGAAAACGAGAGGATGGGATGCGCGCATGTTTTGAAAAAGAAGAGTGTATGGATTTGGGCTGAATGAGGCAAGGCGGAGAGAATGGTTGATGGATGAGCTTGGCCAACGATTATTGGGGCTCCAGTAATTGTTAAGTGGGTTTGAACCAACAATATTGGTGGCCCAATCATTGTTGGAAACCCAGCCCAACCAAGCTTCAACCACATATTGTGGTTGGAGATACACCCAACAAACCTACACCAATTCTGGCATGTGCATGTTGTATAAAATCATTACAACATGTCTGTCTGTATGTCAAAGGGGAAGAGGGCAAGGAAGAGGAGCAAAAGAGAAAGTAAGGGGGGAAAAGAGAGAAGGCATTGAGGGGATGGCACAGACCGCACGACCATGGAGGCGAGGGAGGGAAGGGGCAGCGCGAGGTCGTGCAGGAAGTAGTGGAGGCGTGGCACGAGGCCGCTCTGCACGCTCTGAGTGAGCACCTGCGGGCTGCGCAGCACCACCTTCACCACGTCCTCGTCGCTCAGCTGCAGCGCATTCTGGGGGACGCCGCAAGGGGGGGTGTGTGAGAGCAGTGGGCGGAGAAAGAAAGAGGGAGAATTGAGACCACATGTCTGAGTCCTTTCTAAACGAACAAGCCTGCATGCAGCGATCCATACATGTGAAACGGGCTAAGAGCTTGTTGGTAAGTGGGTCGATGATGTCACTGTAGTCAGCGTGTGAGCATTATGAAGCTCTTTTTGGGCCCATAGATTGTGGCGTAGTGAAGGCACGCACATGCCAGTGACTATGCCGGATGGGAAAGCGGGCCACATTACTGTGGACAACCCTTTAACGTGAGTGGTGAAGCTTGAATCAGATCCCAAGAGAGGAAAGGGTGCTGAGTATGGTTGGAATGAATGTTTCTCCTTGAGCACTATATGAGAGCCTCACTGTCGAGTGTGAATTCTATGGAGTGTGATGCCTGTGGTGAGCCAATGTACCACGAAGTCGCTTCATTAATCATGGAAGTGCCAGGGAACAACATGTTGATGCGCACACCAGGAGGAGCACTATCACTAGCACTAACCTTAACGTGTTCTTGTGCCTCGACATGGTTGACCTTACGAAGGCGCATCCAGTCCGGTGGCTTCTTGTCGATTCCATGGACGGCATACCATTTGTCGTCATTTTTCTTCAAGCAAGTAACAAGGGGGTGGTTAGTGCCACAACACACTTGTCCTTTGCGGTTGCCATACTTGACGACGTAGGTATATGGAGGAAAGCGGTTGCGCTGAAAGGGCGCCGAGGTAACACTCGCTTGAGGCACGAGAGCACGGAAGGCGTAGGCCTTGGCTTGAGCCGTGGTGTTTTTCTCAACGGAGAGGAGTGCGGAAGAGACCTTAGAAAATGTAAGGTGTTCCGTCGAGAGTGCGAGGAGCATTTTCCTCGTAACTTCGTATGCTGAGGTGAGGCCGACACGAAGAGCGGTTGCGGGAGCTTGCTCGGGGAAGATTATGCTGAGTTCCTTGACCTTTGGCGATGTAGTCGGCCATACCTGGAGAGTCCTCAAGGCGGACCTGGAACATGCTCGGGATGAGAATCACCACGCGCCGTCTTGTTCATAAAACGAGAATGAACATGCTTCTATATGGCGCTGGAGGTACGGTAGTTGTGGAAGGTGTTGACGAGGTCGGGAGGGGTAGTGCGGATGAAGACGCTAATGATAGCCGCATCGACCTTCTCCCAACGGCGGTAGTTGTCAACAGCTTCCTCGTACTCCCTTGTTGCCGTCGCATTAGTGATCGGACGGCGCCGTGGGGACATGGGGCTGTTTTCCTTTCCCTTAGTTGAGATCCAACCTTTGCACCTCACAGCTCAAGAGGTGCTTGTCCACCCCGTAGCTCCATACCTTGTAGTTGGAGCTTGAGCCGTCGGTTTCGAGGCGAAGAGGGGTGATGGGATTGGCGATAGCGGAGGAAGCGAACGCCATGATAACTATGTTTCTTCCTTTCTGCGCGAAGCGCAGCTCTTAAGTCGTCGTAGGCAGAATTATGAGGTAGGGTTTACGAAGGAGAATTGTAAGATAAGGTTTACGAATGAGAATTCTAAGGTAGGTTTTAGATCTTGTCGCTGCAGGGCGACGGACGGCAGCCGAAGAAAGGCGACGCTGCCGGGCGACGGGCGGTAGCCCGACGAGGAGGAGAAGAGCCGCGTACTCGGGAAGAACTAGGGATAAGCGCTATGCCGACAATTCGCTTTATCGAAAAATGCGGAAGTCGTCGCGACGGCAAGGTGAGTGGCGCGGGAGAAATTCCGACCAGAGATGTCGCGAATTAACGGCGACGGAATTGAAAGCGGTTTCGCCGAAGAGTGCGGCAGGAGAATCCCCAAAAGTATAATGGAATCCGCGTGTGCGGTAAAATTGCTCTGATACCATGTGAGGGAATCGGGCGCAATCCCTAGGGATTGAAAGTAATCCCAAGGCAATCTCCAATTGGTGGATGTGGGTGTACACTCAATCAAACACAAAGTGAAAAGTACACTAAACTAGGATATAGAAAGTAAAGTACAAAAGGTGAGTCAGAAGGTTGACACTAGCAAGGAGGGGCACCTGCAGGAAGCGAGGAGGGGCACCTGCAGGAAGCGAGGAGGGGCACCTGCAGGAAGCGAGGAGGGGCACCTGCAGGAAGCGAGGAGGGGCACCTGTAGGAAGCGGATGCGCGGGCGGATGGCACGGTCCACACTGCACTCGAAGATGCCGGGTGCCAGCTGGATCACACGTGCCACGCGGTCTGGTGGCACGCCAAGGGCCATTAGGAAGTCGACACGTGGCGCCATGCGCGTGTCGACGCGGTAGGTGAGCAGCTTGGGGCAGCGCGCTACGAGGCGCGGCACATCAGCGGCTGGCAGCCCGATGGCCCGCAGATAGGCCATGCGCTCCTGTGCCAGAGTGGGGGACGTCTAGGGGGGAATTGGGAGGGGAAGGCGGGAGGGGGTAGTGGGTAAGAGGGGCGGGTGGTGTCACGGGCATGCGACGAGAGGATGAGGGGAACAGGTGCATGGCATGGCAATGCAGGAGATTCTGCCATTCTGCCGTGCCGTCGCATGACCAAAGCCCCTTCCCAGCCCAGCCAAAGCCCTTCAGCTAAGCTCCTCCGGCTCCCAGTAAGACTGGTGGACTCACAGTGAGCAAGGCGCGGCGGGTGGAGGCGAAGCGCAGCAGGTCGGGCGGGCGGAAGCCCTCCTCCAGCAGACACGCCACCAGCGCCGCCTGCCGCCCCCTCCGCACCGCCTCCCTCCTCGACGCCGGCTCCGTCACCCGCACGGCCTGTGCGGGTGGTGGGTGGGGCACGGGAGGGAAGAGGGAAGGAGGCAGTGGGCGTGCAGTGAGTGAAAGGGGGATGAGGGAGAGGAGAGAGGCGCGGGCGGGAGAGTATGCAGTGCAAGGGCGTTGGTTGAGAGATTGGAGGCACAAGCAGATGGTTGAGGGGTGATGCACATACACAGGCACAGACGCCCCAACACAGACACACACCCACTCACGCACCTCCACACATACACATACACACACACACACACACACATACACACACACACACACACACACACATAGACCCGTCACCCCCTCACACACACGTGCACACACCCCTACGCACACACACACTCGGCACCCTCTCTAGCGTCAAACCCTGGCATGCAAAAAAGCGCCCCCCTCCCACGCTCACCCCACCCGCCACACCACCCAGCTGCATCAAGGCGGACGCATGCCACCCCTCGCCCTCGCTGCTGCTTGTCATGCCGCCACTCGACTCCCCACTACCGCCGTCACTCATCCCCTCACTCCTGCGTGCATGGCCCTCCTCGTCGCCCCTCGCACCGCTGCGTCCCTGCCAGTCCCGCAGCCGATGCCCGCCTGCCCACACATGGACCATGCTGCTGCTCTCGCCTTGCTCCTCATCCCTCTCCCCCGCCTCGCCCACCATCCCTTCCCCCGTCCCTTCCCCTCTCGCCCCTCCTGCGCCTCCCCCTAACAGCCTCCCCTCCTCTGCCGCTTCCCTGCTGCCTGCGGGGGACAGCGGGGGGGCAGCGGCGCTCGAAACGAGGTGCTGGGGGAGGGGGAGTGCGGATGGGCGGGGAGTGGCGGCTGCGCTGCTCTCGCCCCGCCCACCCTCCACCTCACTCTCCCCCCCATCTTCCCCCGCAGGCCGCGCTGACAGCTGCGGCGGCGGCAGCAGCTGCACGTGGCGCGCACCGCTCTCCCTTTCGCGCGCTCCGCCCGCGCCACTTGCCCTCCCCGCCACCCCACTGCCCGCCTCCTTCCCGCCGCCTGCAGCGCGCCTGTCCTTCTTCTCCCGCTCCTTCCCCGCGCCCCCCCGCTCGTCCCGGGAGCGCGCGGCGAGCAGGAGGCGCTTCTTCTGCGCCACCATGGCCATGGCCTGCGCCTCCCACTCCGCGTGCGACAGCCGCGCGAACTTGCTGCTCGCCCCGCGCCCCGCCCTCTTCGCCACCTGCGGTCTCGCAGGGAGCTCCCTCGCCTCCTTTGCTCCCTTCGCCTGCCTCCCCTCCTTCCCCTCCTTGCCCTCCTTGCCCTCTCTGCCCACTCTCCCCTGCCTAACCTCTCTCCCCTCCTTCCCCTCCCTGCCCTCTCTGCCGCGGGGCGGTTCTCTGATCCACCCCGAGTCGAGGTACTCGGGGGGAGATTCGGGGGAGTGCGCGCTCAAGGGCGGGGGGAACGCGCCGTGCAGCGACGGGAAGGGCTCGATGCCCGTGGCGCGCACCCGCTGCTCCATCCAACGCTTCAGGTCGATGACGCCGCCGCCGCCAGCGCTCGCATTCTCCGCGCTCGCCTCCCATTTCGCGGTTTCCCCGCCTGCCCTCTCCTCCGCTGCGGCGCGCGGCCCATACGCGACAGGCGCGCGCCCGGACAGGGGCGGTGCAGCGGGTTGGGGAATGCAGAGGGGCATTCGCGGTGTGGCGGGGGAGAGGCGGAGAAACATGGCGGGTGGTGTTCCCGCAGCAGGGGGATGAGTGTGCAGGGATGCGGGCAGCGATTGCCTGTGAGACTCGGAAAACACCGAGAGGTATGGAGTGAGGATACTAGGGTAGGACAAAGGTTTCGAGTTTCTGCTAGAAACAGTTGAGTGGCTTGCTTTGGTTTGGCGAGTTTCGTTCTCCTCGCCTTGTGACAACGCGTCCTCGTTACCACTTGTTTCTTGAATGAGTTCAATTTACTCATTCCGTCTATAGTGTCAACACTTCCAAGTTTCCTGCTTTTTCTTCCAGTTACGAAGGCCAGCAAAAATGCTTCACATTTTGAGACGTCCATTTATCTACCCCTTTACGGTGATAAATGTCGCCTGTGTTGGAAACATGTAGTTCGCGCTTCTGATGTGTCGAGAACTACAACGTAAGCGAAGCGAACTACAGCGAAGTAACAGCGAGTCAACGGCAGTGGTTGACAGAAAGACAACAGCAAGAAGTTAAGTGAAGGTCAAAGGTCAGCGAACATTGACTCGCCGAAAAGCAGCGCGACAGCAAGGACACATAACTGACTTGCTATAGAGCAGTTACCCGTGTCAGAACTATGCATATATATACTCTAGGTTGTAGCGGGGCACTCCTTGTGGGGTACAGTCCAAATTAGGTTTTGCTATACAAACCCTATACTGCTGCCTATCTAGTCATTCTTGATTCCTACTTTCTGACATGGTTTCAGAGCAGGTTCCCTAGTGGGAACGTTTTTTTTTGTAGGGCCCACCACAATATTTTTTTTTCCTGCCCTGCCCGAAGCGCGCCTCGCGCCTGCCTCACCTGCGCCGTCGCGCGCCCTGCGCTACTGCCCCCCGTAGTGGCCCTGCCCTCCCGGCCCGTTGCGGCCCTGCCCTAACGGCCCGTCGCGGCCCTGACCTAGCCGCCCGTCGCGGCCCTGCCCTGTCGCCGCCCGTCGCGGCCTTGCCCTGTCGCCACCCGTCGCGGCCTCACCCAGCCGCCTGTCCCGGCCTGACCCAGCCGCCCGTCGCAGCCCTGCCTTGCCGCCACCCGTCACGGCCCTGCCCTCAGCCGCTCGTCGCGGCCCTACTCAACCGCCGCCTCGTCGCGGCCCTGCCCTACTGCCGCCCCGTCGCGGCCCTGCTCTGCCGCCTCGTCGCGGTCCTGCCCTAACCGCCAGTCGTGGCCCTGCACTGCACCCGCCCCTGGTAAGCGCTCGCCCTGCCAAGCGCGCTGCTGCGCCCGCCTGCCTGCCGCGCCGCGCCGCCCAGCCGAGCCGCGCCGCCCTGCCGAGCCGCGCCACCCTGCCGAGCCGTGCCGCTCTGCCGAGCCGCGCTGCTCTGCCGAGCCGCGCTGCTCTGCTGAGTCGCGCCGCCCTGCCCTACTGCTACTGCTGCTGCTACTGCCGCCATGGCTAGTCCTACTGTTCTTACCTTCGATGCTGAGGGTTGTGCGGTCGATTTCGAAGTTTGGGTTGATGACTTGCAGCTCTATCTTCAGTGCAACTCTAGGGACGGAGTCTCGCTTTTCGATCACACTTCCGGCGCCTCTATTGCACCTGCTGCCGATGCTGACACTACAGTTCGCTCGCAGTGGACTATTCATGACGATGTTGCTTGCCTTGCTGTTCGTAGTCACCTGCCGTCAGCTGAGCGCGCGCACTTTGGCCAGTACAAGACTGCTAAGTCTTTGTATGACGCTGTCGTCATATGCTACTCCTCCCCTGCCACTGCTGCCCTCAGCCGCCTCATTCTGCCGTACTTGTTCCCTGACCTGGCCGCCTTTGCCACAGTCGCTCACCTCATCACTCACCTCCGCACTAGTCACACCCGCTACAACGATGCGCTTCCCTCCGAGTTTCGCGCCAAGAACCACCCCCCCCCCCCCCCCCCCCCATGTACATCACCCTCTTCTACCTCGTCACCCGTCTCCCTGACTCTCTTCGCTCAGTCAGGGACCACTTTCTCTCCCTTTGCCCCACCGAGCTCACTGTCAACCTGCTCGAGGAGCGCCTCACTGCAGCTGAGACTAGCATAGTCGCTGTAGGAGCTTCTCGCGGCGACCCTCGCACCCCTTTCTTTGAGGGGTGTTCCCCCGTTCCCCTTTTGCCCTCCGTTGCTTCTGCTCCTGCTGTCGACCTCGTTAGCACCGAGAAGGTCGGGGCTAAGTCTGCTCCTAGTGGGAGGCGCCGCAGCGGCAAGGGCAAGGGGGGCAACGGTGGTGGAGGGGACGGCGGGAGCGGCGGTGGTGGCGGTGGAGGAGGCGGAGGGGGTGGGGGTGGAGGTGGGGGTGGTGGCGGGAGTGGGGGCGTCGGTGGCGGCGGTGGAGGTGGTGGAGGCAGCGGCAGCGGCAGTGGGGGTGGCGGCGGTGGTGGTGCTGGTTGGGGTGGAGCCGCGCAGCATGGAGGCTTTGGCGGTAGCCAGCGGCAGCAGTAGCCGCGTTCCCGTGAGGCCCAGTCGCCCCAGCAACTTCGTGAGTGGTACGCTGGGCGTGGGAGGTCTGGGGGTGCTGGTCCCTGCGCTTACGTTCTCCGCACCGGCGAGCGCCATGGGGAGACGTGCGCTGTTCCGGTCATTGCGACCTCCTCCACTGTCCTCCCCTGTCCTGCGGTCCCGTCGGGCACACTGTCAGGTCTCCACCTCCCCTCGTTCTCTACGAACCTGGTGGCAAGATGTGCGCTCCAGGACGGGGGTGTTCACCAGTTCACCCCTGCCTACGAGCGAGTGACACACTGCACGTGTGCTTGTACGGGCCGTCACTTGGCTACCTTCACTCGGCAGCCGGGGTCGGACCTGTACACACTGACCATTGAGTCCCCTCAGGTCGCTGCGTCTGCGTCTGCGTCCGCGTCAGGTCAGCTCTCGGCCCCCTGCTCGTGTCGCTCTCTAGCACACGAGACTGTCCTCTGGCACCACCGCCTTGGCCACCCGTCTGTGCAACGGCTTCGTGCCATGCACTCCCGATACCTTGTCTCTAGCCTTCCCAGGGTCCTTCCTCCCCTCCCTCCCTCACCTGCTCCTCCCTGTCTTCCCTGTGTTGAGGGGCGGCAGCGCGCCGCTCCTCACTCCTCCTCGTTTCCCCCGACGACTGCTCCCTTGCAGACGCTCCACATGGACGTGTGGGGCCCAGCCCGCGTCCGTGGTCAGGGTCAGGAGAGGTACTTCCTGATAGTTGTTGACGACTACTCGCGCTACACCACGGTCTTCCCCTTGCGCACCAAGGGTGAGGTCCCTGATGTCTTGATCCCTTGGATCCGCAGAGCCCGTCTCCAGCTCAGCGAGCGTTTCCACTCGGACTTTCCTGTCCTGCGGTTGCACTCTGACAAAGGTGGTGAGTTCTCCTCCGACCTCTTGGCAGCCTACTGTGCTGAGCACGGCATTGAGCAGTCGTTCACGCTTCCTGCCTCTCCACAGCAGAATGGGATTGCGGAGCGCCGCATTGGCCTGGTCATGGAGGTCGCCCGTACCTCCTTGATCCATGCGGCTGTCCCCCACTTTCTGTGGCCGTTTGCGGTCCGGTACGCTGCGCATCAGCTCAACCTCTGGCCCCGTGTCTCCTTGCCGGAGACCTCGCCCACACTGCTATGGACGGGGGAGGTTGGCGATGCGTCGCGTTTCCGGGTCTGGGGATCTCGAGCTTTTGTCCGCGATACGTCTACGGACAAGCTCTCCTCCCGTGCTGTTCCCTGCGTCTTCCTCGGCTTTGTCCCGAACGCGTCTGGTTGGCAGTTTTACCACGCCACCTCGCGCCGAGTCTTGCCCTCTCAGGACGTCACTTTTGACGAGTCCGTCCCCTACTACCGCCTCTTCCCCTACCGCACTGCCCCGCTCCCCCCCCCGCCTCTCTTCCTCGCGCCAAGTGCTGCTGTCGTAGACCCCCTCCCCCCTCAGGGTGCCGCTCCCTCAGGTGTGTCTCAGGTAGACCCGGTTGAGCCTGTTGAGGTAGCTGTCGACTCTCGTCCTGATGCGGGTGCGGAGCCTAGGGGTGTGGAGCCTGGGGGTGGTGAGCCTGGGGGTACTGAGCCTGGGGGTGCTGAGCCTGGGGGTGCTGAGCCGCAGAGTCCAGAGTCTGGGGGTTCTGAGTCTGGAGGTGATGAGCCTGGGAGTCCTACACCTGGAGGAGCCCTCTCCTCGGAGCAGCTACGTGAGTGGTACTTACAGTACTGCAGCCTCAGGAGAGGTACCTCTGGAGCCAGGCGTACTACTTGGAGTGGTGCTAGTGCTTCTCCTCCTAGTCGGGAGCTCCCCTCCCATGAGCGGATCCGTGAGTGATATGAGCGGCGCTGCACTCTTCGGAGTGGCGTGCCTGGTGTCACGGACCCCGCTGCTGCTGGTGGTGCTGCTGGTGCTGGAGACTCTACTGGTGCTGCTGGTGCTGCGGCCCCAGAGGTTGGAGCTGCTTCTGGTGCTACGGACCCGGGCGTTGGAGCTACGGCTGGTGCTGAGGACCCGGGCGCTGGTGCTGCTGCTAGTGCTGAGGACCCGGGCGTTGGAGCTGCTGCTGGTGCTGAGGACCCGGGCGTTGGAGCTGCTGCTGGTGCTGAGGACCCGGGCGTTGGAGCTCCTGCTGGTGCTGCGGACCCGGGCGTTGGAGCTGCTGCTGGTGCTGAGGACCCGGGCATTGGAGCTGCTGCTGGTGCTGAGGACCCGGGCGTTGGAGCTGCTGCTGGTGCTGAGGACCCGTGCGTTGGAGCTCCTGCTGGTGCTGCGGACCCGGGCGTTGGAACTGCTGCTGGTGCAGAGGACCTTAGCGCTGGTGCTGTTGCTGGTGCTGTGGAGTCGGGCGTTGGAGCTGCTGCTGGTGCTGGGGACCCGGGAGTTGGAGCTGCTGCTGGTGCTGAGGACCCTGGCGCTGGTGTCTCTGCTGGTTCTGGAGTCGCTGCACGGCCGCGGCCGTACTTCGTTCCGCTCCTTCAGCAGGTTCTTGGTCATCTCCCTCCTCCTTGTCCTCCTCCCTCCTTAGGGTGTCCTCCGTC